GCTGACAGGCTCAAGTTGTTGTTAGAAGTGTCTGACAACCTTCTGGAAAGGATCCCTACAGAGTCGGGCCTTTTTATAAAGATCCTTTTCGTTTAACCAGAAACAGACACTATGTCGGTCTAGTCAAAGCCACCAGACACCATTGACAAAAACAGTCTTTTTACTCCTCACGTCTCCCGCTGCCTCCATCGGTTAGTTTGTGTTGACTTCACATCCCGCAGGAACCAGTTTTTCCGTTAAGTGACTTCATTATTGTTTGTTTTTTATAATTCTTTTGCTGTATTGTTTTATGTGTTGACTGAAAACAGTCTGATGGTGCTCATCTGGTGCGTTCAGGGACTGGTGGGAAAACTGATGTTGAAGGCTTCCACCTTAACGCTGTTTGATCAGAAAATCAACTTCTGACGTCAAATATGAACATCTTAGAAAAGGATGATGTGTATTCGGCTGCTTCCTTCTCCATAAATCCTGCTGCAACACTAAGGCTTCAAAGTAGGAAACTGAGCCTCCTGACTTTTAAGTCCTGATGAATCATTCCTCTGGAAGATCTTACAGTCACCAAGAGTAAACTAGCTGTGTGTTTGGTTTTTGGTTTTCTGCCAACTTTAATTAAGTTTACGCTGACATTCGGGTGAGCAGATGATACATTTGCAGTTTAATTTTAATGTGTTTTAAATTTAATTTCCTGTCTGAAGCGGCTGGACATATTTCAGAAGAAAAAAGCTTTAATGATTAAAACTTAAACATTCAAATACATTTTCCAGGATGATAAATACTGACGTTAAGCTCCAGGTGTGTCTCATGGGGGCGCCGGGATCCTCATTGTTTTACATCTCATTGGAAATTTGTCTTTCCTCTTTGCATTTTCTGCTTCTCAAAACACAAACTATAAAAAGAAAGTGGCAAAGGGCAGAGGTTAAACTGTTTGACCTGATTTAACCCACCGCTGTCTATCAAACAACATAATCTCCGTCATCTAATGAGCTCTAATACATACAAACACACAGAGAAACACGCAGATCCATTACGGATGAAATGTTCTGGATTAAATAAAACAAGAGGATGTTTGTAATCCTGAACCTCGTCTGACCTCGACTGCGTCCAGAAACCACAGATTAGACCCGATGCGTTCACGGAGAACAATAAAAGCACCACAGTTTCTCTCGGTCACTGATGCTGTGGTGAAATACTAAAACAGAAATCTCTCTCTGGCACGTCTGCCTGGCCACGTTTAAAGACATATTTGAATGGATTTGTTTTTTCTCTGGCCCCCCCCGTGGCCTTTGGCACCGCTGACCACTGTAAGCTCAAACTGACCGCGAGCCAATCAAAACAAAGCCTAACATCCACATTGAGACGATAACAAAACTGACCTACTGTGACTCCAGCTCTCAAATCTTTGCGCTGGTTTCTTTTGAGTCAAATTGATTTTAATATATACAGTTGGTTTATGAAGCACTGAATGGTAAGTCTGACACTGTGGGACTCAAAATCAAGACAACAGCTGACGACCTTCTGAGCCTCAGTGATGTCAATGAATATACCGGTGCATCTCAAAAAAATTTATATCGTGGAAAAGTTCATAGTGAGCATCTGGAAGCTGGCAAGAGATTAAAGGCTCAGGAAAGCTTTGCGAGCGATTTGGGGTAATTAGCTGATTAGAGCTCTTCTCATGTTGACATTTCTGTTTTATAAAGTCTTCATTCTGAAATTAAAATACCTTTTGAGATACTGGAGTTTTCATTTCCATGAGCTGTATGGTGTAATCATCAAGATTAAACCAAAAAAAGGCTCGACATATTTCACTTTATGTGTAAAGACTCTAAAATTAATGAAAGATTCACTTTTTGAATTAAATCAAAGAAGAAAATAAACTTTTCCATACACCTTTTATATTTATTGTTATTCTCTTAATTTATTAATCATGATCTAACGTTTGAAAAACGTAGTTCCAAAAATTCTTTCGGGAATATAAACAGGAAGTATAATGAGTCTGTTTTTTAATTAATTGGCACAAATAAAGGTACGCCGGATAAACTGTTATCGCTTCCTGTTTGCAGTTTACCCACAGATGTACAGACAACTCTCACTGGATCACTTTGATACTGAAGAAAACGTAAAAACGTGGTGATTCTCACGGAAGTTCTGAAGCAACTTTTGTTCCTATGATTTCCAAGAAGATTTATAGACGATATCTCTGGAAAGTGTAAATTACACTGAATCGACAAATGACTCTAAGAAGGAGTGTGATTTCTGACGCAAACTGGAGATGTGCTCCATCTCAGTTATTTCAACTCGGGGATTAAGATCTGTTAGTTAAAAACTCTTTTTACTTTACATTTCTTGTGACCACACTGCTCAGAACAAGAAGAATCAGTCTCCAGAATAAATCTGGGACACAACGGTAACAAGGAGACGTATGGAAATAATCAACTTCTGTTACTGAGATCCATCTTTCCCTGTCAGTTCTTCAGTTTTTCCTCCTTAAAAAAGAAAAGGCCACCGCATGAAAGGAGAGGAACGGACGCCAGTGAGCTCTGATTTTGTGGTTTGCAGGTCTAACACTTTATAAACGTCTACATTTTACGCCATTTTAGTGATTATATTTCAACGTGCAGACAGTTTTTAAAATGTTGAAAGAAGGGTCATCTCAACATCTTTTCACCTTGAAACCACCAGACTGATGCTCACTGGTCACTGAAGAAGTGAAGAAACATGTTTCCTTTTCCTTGATGCAGCAGCCTGAAAAATCCACCTGTCAGAAGCAACACACATACACGGATCCCATCTAAGGAGTGGTGGAACATATCCCAGCATGCATTGGGTGAGAGTTGAAACCCCTTACATATTGATTTAGAGATGTCATCAACTATTGATTTCTATATTTCTATTTATTTAGTGTGTTTTTTGAACCGGGTGTGTGTGTCCTTAATAAAAGCTTTGGTACACGTCTTGTTTTAAAACAGCGGGAACGTCTTTTCACCTGCGTATCACTAAATCAGTGCTCACTGGAACGTGAAGAGGACATTTAAACTCCGCTATAAAACGCCCCCCAGCTGAACTCTTAAGAGGCTGCAAAGAGGAATAACTCAGCTGCAAGTAATAGCCCGACTTGAGCAAATCAAATTACGCCGCTTCTCAGTGCCAACACACAGAAAGTGAATCAACCTGTCTCCTAACCGGCAGCGAGTTGAGTGATCTCCTCGTCTCTCGCTCCTCTTTAAAAGCCTTTTAACAGATCAGCCGGGTTGGTCAACATGAGAGCGGCGTACTGACTCTGCAGGACTTTTAAACAGACAAGACAATATGTACATTAAAAACACAAAACTAGGATTAAATCAGCCCATCGCAGCTTAGCTTCAATAATCACAGGTAGGATGTTTGGCTCACTTATTTTTAAGTAAATATCCTGTATAATCTCTATATTTAGCACAGTAAGTGTCAAACTGATAGTTTTCATATTTAACGTCATGTTCCTGTAGCCTCAGATAACAGCAGGACTCTGCTCTCCAGTAAGATATATGAAGCAGAAGTCATTAACCTTTAGCATAAGTAAATACACAACTACTGTAACACACAACTACTGTAACACACACAGACAGCCGAGAAATTTATTTTATGATTACGAATGTCTGACGTGAAATTTACGTCTCAGAAAGTAGCAACGCCGTCACAGTCTGAATCCTTTTTGTTTTTAAGTCAGTTTCAGCTGGAAAATGTTCCCTCTATGCGACGTTAAAGGCATTTTGAGGGACAATCTTGCCTCTTAAAGTCATTAAAAACTCTGTGCAGCCAAATTCTGTTCAGACTTATTTAAATTTCCAACGGAGCTCCTAAAATGTTCAAAGACACCAAACGCATCAGGCTGAATTTAGGAGGAAATGTGTACAAACTTAATGGAACAAAATACTTTTTCTTTCAAACCTTAAAGCTACTTAAAGGAGAAACATAAAGGGAAAAGATGTGGAGGGGTAAGTAAAAGAGTCAATAATCACCTAAAATCAATGCATAAGACTGGAAGAACATTCAGAAGCAAAAAAAACTAAATCTTGTCCGTTTATTCTTTTTATGTTTTTGATGCTTTCAACTGTTTTTTTTATGTCTGCAAAACCTGTAGAAAAGCCTAGACAAGCTGTGAATTTAAATTATCAGTTTAAAAATGCAGGTTTTCTAACTTTAAATGAAGCTTTTCTGCATGTAAATATACATAAAAAGTCTGGGGTAAAAGCTACAGATAAGACAGCTGTGAAAAGTCTGCTTTTTCTTTTCAGACTGAAAACTTGACATGAGTCACTTTGAGTGGATTTCTGGCACACTGAGGTCACCTTTACAACATTTCTACTTCAGTAACAAATGAGTTAATCATCCACTTGAGTTGTCTGCATCCAAACCCACTAAGGAACAGTCCAACACTCAAAGCTTCACTGAAAGATGATAACATCTGTAAGTGAAGGTCCAGGCTGCAGAGTCTAAGTATAGAGACCAGCATACTGTGTGAACGGACCACCTGAGTATTAAAAATTAATGAGTAGTAGCCAGTAAATGAATCAATAATTAATTGATTTTCATACAGTGGAAGAGTAAAAGAGTAGTGAGATGCAGAAAGTAAAGTTGATCAGTGGTGATTTACAGTTCAATCAGCAATGAGACTGAAAGCAGCAGAGCAGATGTTTATATGATGAAAATAAAACACACTTAAAAAAGGTAGAAATGTAAAAGTGTAAGTGTGTCAGTAGGAATATTAGGGGTAATAAAGACAAATCAAGTAGAATAAAGGTCACAAAAGACTCGCTGTGTGACTATTCTAGGAATACTAGATGGCCTAATTACGCTTTTAAGCCAATTAAAACTAAAGATTTAGCGCCACAAGAGATTAGCATGTGGAGTAATGTTGCAGAAAGAATTCAAATAAACACCAATATAAACACCTCCTATTAATATTTTAATAAAATGATCACATTAAGCCTGGTAATAATAATCACAATGAGTAAGGTACTGACCGTGTGGATGAAGGTGAAGCCGAGCAGGAACAGAGCGAGCCGGTGCGTAAAGGACATGGTCACATCTCCTCCCGCGGAGCGTTAAAGCCACCTGAACAGCAGCTCGGCGCTCATCTGACTGACATCCTCAGCAGCAGGAAACGCGTGCAGGTGAGCTGCTATCAAGTTTGTGGTTTTATTGCGCAAAACGTCGCAAATGTCAATCAGTTTTTTGGCACGTTGGTCAGCAGCTTTACGCACGGATTCATTCGGACCTCTCCGAGGCTCATAAAAAAGGGTGAAATGTCCCCCCCCCCCCCCCCCCAAAAAAAACGTGCTGACAATCAAAGGAGCAACTAAAAAAAATACTAAATTCACACCTGAAACAGTCCAAACAGTCACGAGCTGGTTCCTGTTCTTAGTAAAACTGCTGGACAGACGGTGTGTTGTGATGAGTCCAGTGTGCGGACTCACAGTGACGCGGTGCGGTTCACTCCCTGCTCACTTTCACAGTGCGCGTCCCCGTCACATGTCGTCCCTCAGGGCACCCCGGGCTGATGCGCGCTCACGCGGACCTGAAGGAGCTGAAGGAGCTTCACGAGTGTGTGTTAAGGTGAAAAACCAACAGCGACCTCGCGTGGCTGAACTCAGAACTCCTGTCGGTAAAAATAGTTTCCAACCGCTGGTCCAGAGGCCCTCAGAGGGCCCTCAAGTTGGGCTCCTGCGGTCCCACAACAAAATACCTATATATATCTATTAACCACAAAAGAATGAAAAACAATAACTTAAATTATCCAGGATGGACAGACTAAAACTTCCTAATGAGAGATTGTCCTCCAAAATATTCATGCACAGTTTTTCTTTTGCTTCTGGGATGCATCATTACTTCTTTTGCTTTATTTTATACACATTTAACAAAGTATTTGGCATTTTGAGGGTTTGCAATTCAGCTGTTTGCTTCTTCATTCAGTTTTAATGTGAAATAAAGTTAGATGCATAACCAAACCAACAGAATACAAATATGTCTAATGGGTTTTAATAATACAACATGAACAATATACAGTATAATATATAAACATAAACCTGGTGGAAAAGAAACTTTAGTAAAGTGTCTGAATACTTGCTCCTGAAATGAGTTTTCAACAGTTCTCTTGTGGTAATAAATTCTCCTTCGCCTGTTTGTGTGATTATTAAAGAATGAACATCTTGTGCTCGAGGAAATGAGGCAGGAAAAGAAACTCCGTCCATCAGCTGAAACCATCGACTGACCCCCACAGCTCATTTAGTCATTTATGAGTCTAAACACATAAACTGGAATCAGGAATGCTTTTACAGCAGAGTCACAGTCTGATCAGACCGAACCAGAGAGGAAATCAGAGCCAGAGATTAGAGTAAAAAGGGGGATACTGGTTTGTATTTATACCTAAAAGTTAAACATTCAGACTTTAAAGAAGCTGAACAGTTTTACAGAGTTTTATTTCTGTCTGTTTACCCGTTTATCGCTCTTTTTCTGAGCAGTCGCTGTAAATATTGTTTGCACGTGTAAACTCTGCTTTTACTTGTGTGCATTTTCTGTTTACAGCAAATTAAAAATAGCAAGAGAGAGGACGCTGGACATGAAGCCAATAAAACCAGTCTGACTCTGGGAAAACTGGGAGATGAAAAGGAAACTTGTAACTCTGCTTTGGGGAAAAGTTATTAAACATATTTGCCATTAAATTCAGATAAATATTTGTTAAAGCTCTTAATCAGGTCTTCGGCTGTTGAAAAGCATCTTAAACTTTGTTGTCTTTACTTTTGGCCTTTTCATGATCTTAACTTTTTGTGCACGTGTTCATATATCATCTTGTCTTTCTTTTTTCCGTCCCGTAACAAACTGTGCAAATACTGCTTTGAAAAGTGCTACAAGAGTAAAGTTGGTATAAGAAGCTCGCCTCCATTTAGTGACTGTTCTGGAGCTTTCAAGCATATCACATGATCCTCAACTGTAGATATTCAAATGTTTTACTTAACATTTACACACAAAAAAAAGTCAAACTTTTACTTACATTAGATAATTTTTAAAATTAAATTTTATAATTATTATAAATTATAATTTATTTATTAAAAATGTAAATAAATAAATAATATAGATATTTATTTATTTTAATATAATTTATTTATAAAATTTATAATGTATTTTTTTTTTGTCTTTGCTTTACCTAATTTTCTAATTAAATCTATTGCTTTGACTTAAATATGTGTGTATGTAGTGTATACATAATATATAATTTCAATGGCTGAATAACTGCTTTTTACAAACAGAGTCGCAGTTTATTTTCTCTAGAGCACAAGTTATTATTCTCACAAGAAAACAAAAAAACTAAAACTAAAATCTGACCCTTGTTTTTCTAAATGAAGACTATGTTTCCCAACAATTTCTGCTGCCTTGCTGCTAATCAATTCATAATAATACAATTGCTCCTGAAAAGTGCCAGCTTTTTAGTTCCCATGAAAACAAAAAACGTGTGATGATAAGACGTTTGTCCTGAAAGAAAAGATCGACATGTCTCCACATTCAAGAAGACATCAAACAGCCTGAAGACAGAAACTTTGGTGGTCAGTTATGTTTTCACAAGCAGGAATCCGCTGACAGGAGGAGGACTGAGGGAGAGACAGGAGAGGAAGACGCTAAGCTTTTTCTGTACGACTGAAATCTTATTAAAGTCAGACTGACTGCTGAAGATCTCGTGGGGATAAAGACGCAAATCATTTTGGACTAAGACATCTTTTCATGAGATGACTGCGCCTGATTGAACTGGAGGAACTTGAATAGAGGACGAAGGATCAATATTGGCCTTTAAGAAATCCATGGTGTTGATGAAGGGATTAATGCGGTTAGACCGTCTCAGCCTTCAGACCTGATTCTGCGTTAATGAGCATTTGAAAGGCAACAAAAAGAGAAGCGGGAGATAACAGCAGCAGCGACAGGGTCATAAAGACGGAACATCGTCAGAAAGCAGAGCTGGAATGAACTTTAACTAATGGCTTTAATCTAGGCCTTTAATTCCTGTCCCACAAAACTCCTGCTCTGCAAATATGGGAAATAATAAATATCTAAATATAAATTCAATAGTGATAGTGAACTATTTAATCATTTATTTAAACCGGAGTCAATATTACTTGCATCGATCTACCTCCGAGACACAGCATCTGATCCAACCTCAAACACCGGTAATGAAAGGATAAAAGCCAACTTGGATTTATTTTTATGAAAAATCCTTTTGATTATTTTGATCAGTGGACCCTTACAGACTAAAGGAATATATAAATAATAAAGGAACGGCCACATGTTGGGACTAAAAACCTGCTTAAAAAGTTTACCATGCCGGTGAATCTGAGTGAATTATACTTTGGTGCTCATTGTTTCTTTAAAATGACTGAAATGCAAATCCAAAAGTTTAAACATTTATATTTGTATGCACCATCAGCTGAGACTAGTGACCTGGTGGGCTTATATATATGCAGAGAACTTAAAGCCCAGACCAGGGGCCGGTTTCACAAAGATAGACTTTGACTATGGCTTAGACATAGAAAGTCAGACTCTAGACATCTAAATCAGACCGTTGCACAAAGCACTGGAGACCCTGACTCTCTTAAGTAGGACTACACTGCAATGAATTCTGGGTAAATAAGACACCTTTTTTTTTTAGACTAGTCTAACACTATAGACCGGTCTGAAATAGCTTTTGAAACCGGCCCCAGGCGTCTAATTGAGACGTGTGTATTTGATTTAATTTATAATAATACTGAAGCTTTATGGTAAGTACATCTTCCACTGAGATTCTTATTTTAACTTTCACCAAATCACCTTTGCGTGTGAAAAATATATTTAAATATGCAAATGAAAGGCTTCTTTGCTTATTTTTTCTTCATGTTTCTTGCGTCCAGCTCAGTACTTTCTAGCCTTGCTGGTTGTGTATGTAAATGCATTTTCATGAAACTTTGCCCAGATGTTCCTCAAGAGGATGAGTCCTGACTTCAACGATGCTCCGACTTTTCTTCTAGCGCCACCGCGAGGTCGACATTTGTGGTTTTAATAAGTGAAATGTTCATTTAGCCAACTGTGCTGAACTTGCATGCTGGTTTTCTTCAACTTCTCTGATCAGAAAGCCCCCTAACGAGGTGTTACCTTCCGTGGACGTCCTGGATGTCACAGTGAGCTACCCACAAGTCCATCCATTTTAAATTTCTGGACCACTTTTGTCGACAGTATTCAAACTTCTAAGCAACGCTTTACTAACTTTCTTATACATATATTTTCTCAGAAACTTTTAATTTGTCTGTACTTTGGTTTACCTGCAAAACTGACGACATTCCCATCAGCCTCAGCTGTCCTTTCTGTCTGATGCTAATAGGCAAATGTTAGCATGCTAAGTTACAACATCAGCATGTTAGCATTTAGCTCAAAGCACCACTGCTCAGCCACGATGTATTTTTAGCCAGAGGAGGAAATAATGTTACTAATGATGTTTACTGAACGCAAGTTAAAACCTGACTTTGGCCTTTTTCTCTTAGGGCTGGACTCACTTTAGTTGCCAGCGGTTTAGACATTAACGGCTGTGTGATGTGTTATTTTGAGGGGACAGCAAATTTACACTGTTCACTGTTCACATTGTGGCAAAGTGTCATTTCTTCATTAAAAGATATAATCAAATGTGAGACTTTTGTGAGATGCTGTGTATGAGCACAAGATTAATTGATAAAACATAAAGCAGGATGTTAGCACATTGCTAGTTACTGAAGAAGAAAAAGCTAGGAAGTAGATATCCTGTCTCCTGAAGCATCGAGACACACAAACACATAATAACAATGATAATAAAATTAATAATAATAAAAACTAGTCTGAGTTTTAGCCAATCAAAGCACTTTATTGCACTGTATAGTGTGACGGTGAGCCAATAGCAGGCTCTTATAAAAGTGTCATTTAATCTTTTTATCATGTGTACAAAACAAGTCACACACACCTGTACCGTACAAAATCAACACTATTTACATACAATATACACACACCTAACACACACACACACACACACACACACATACACACATACGTGCGCGCATACGCACACCATGCAGTCTCTCTCCCATCCAGGCCTGAACACACACAGACGAGTCCTCCGGGTTTCTGATGGGGTTTCCTTCTTAACGAACATCCTCCACCTCACACACACACACACACACACACACACACACACACACACACACAGCGACTGAAACATGACCCGCTACGCTGCTACCAACAAAACCAAAAATGCTATGTTAGCCAAACAAAGCAACTAAGCAACTTCTGATATGCATAAAGTTTTTCTTTTTCTTCTGATACAAAGACGAGGGAGTGAAACAAAGATGAAGAACGATGAGATGATTATTCATTATTCATCTACGTGGATGCAAACAAACGATGCTGAATTATTCTAAATACCGTTGATA